CAAAATGGACTTGTTCATTGAAAAGTAGACACTTTAATTGATGATTGGTGAAAATTTTGTTACAATTTTCCCAAAAATCGATTTTTTACTAATTTATTTAAGTTGAGAAAAATGTAGGTTGAATTTAAAACATTTGTATCTCAAAAATTAAAGTGATTTAAAATTTGATAAAGCTCAGAGAGATGCAGTGTAGGGGAAGAACATGAGTCAGCGATGATAACACTCAATAAGGTGCAAGACGACATCAAGTTGGATTCTTTTCTGGTTGGGTTGCTTTCGAGTTGGGGTCCTTCTGGTTAAGTTACTTTCAAGTTGGGTTGCATTGGATTCAGGTTAGGTTGCTTTCTGATTGGAGTTGGCTTCCTTTCTGGATTGGTTTTGGGTTCAGCTTCAATACTAGCTTCATACTCTGCAGAAAGCTTGCGAGGCATCAAAATGTATCACATTTCTTTAGTTGAGTATGGGTTTGAGGCGTCAATTTCTCCAACAACTTTGGAAGAGGAAAATCTTAATTGTTGCTTTGGATGTTTTAGATAGCTTAAAATAAAATGATAGTTTCATAATTATGAATAATTAAGGGGTAATCCCATGGGAACAAGTTCATTCCATTTAGCTTCCGTGGCTCAACGCGCTGTTTTTGATATTCAGCAGATGTCACCGCGGCGTGGAGTAAATTCCTGTTTGCTGCGTTCAAAAACAGGAATTCCTGCCGCGATAGCGCGGGCGACCCAATTCTCCCGAGGTCGTATATATCCATTACCTTCATTAAAGCGGCCTCCCGACTCAGATAGCGTACGAGGGCAGAGCTCCCGAACAAAGCAGCCCGTCAATAAACTGGCAAAAAAGGGATATATCTTCCTTCCTGGGTCAACGCGCAATAAGTTCCACCGTGTCGATTGGCGATTTACAGCCGACTGCCGCGGCATATTTTTGCATCGAGTTACTCTGCGTTCTCAATTGACTTGTAACTAAATGTAAATTTACGTTTTTAGACTTTAATTATTATCGTCAGGTCATTACGCTCTACTTGGGTTATCAAATCAATACCAGCAAATACCGCTAGTCATGTTTGTCCAAGTACTCTCGGCATTGTAGCAATCTGGCACGAGCGAGGCACCATCTGGGAAAATATTGACGTTACGGTATTTGACTGTCTACCCACTCTGTTTACGACAATTATCTCGCCAATCTACGCACTACAACGTATAAATCATCGAGATACTCGACCATTTAAAGCACTCCCGAATCTAATCAACACCAACAGCCTTTTTGTAACAATGATTTTTTAGAAAGGTTAAGGAAGGTTAATTATCCTGCCAATCTAAAACGAGATAGGCCACTAAAGGCTGCTGTCGGTTAAAAGCTTGGCGGAAAAGAGGCGAGCCGGAATCGTTTCGGTCATAATTTATGTGGAAAAAAGCGGGCGCAGGATCTGCCCCAGGCATTTTTATGGGGACCCTTGTCTCCGCATATGCGTTTTATGTAGTTTTGCCTGCTATATTTACGACTAAGGCCGGAGTAGAGTTTTCCGTTTCACCCGCTACTTTTCACGTCATTTGCTAACGTATGAATGCTTATTAAGGGTAATATTAATCTAATCTTTCGATAAAGATATGTTATACACAATTTATCACATTAATATCTAGGCAAGAAAAGAACTCGGTAATTTAAAGAAAATTGTATCTTAAGAAGTAAAAGTGATTTTTCAAAACAGACTTATTCGTTGAAAAGTAGAGGCTTTAATTAATGATTAGTGAAAATTTTGTTACAATTTTCCCAAAAATCGATTTTTTACGAACTTATAAAATTAACATAAAGACACAAAGTTGAGAATAATTTAGATTGACTTTCAAACATTAGTATCTCAAAAAGTAAAAGTAATTTTTCAAAGCGGACATGTTCATTGAAAAGTAGACACTTTAATTGATGATTGGTGAAAATTTTGTTACAATTTTCCCAAAAATCGATTTTTTACGAACTTATAAAATTAACATAAAGAGACAAAGTTGAGAATAATTTAGATTGACTTTCAAACATTAGTATCTCAAAAAGTAAAAGTAATTTTTCAAAGCGGACTTGTTCATTGAAAAGTAGACACTTTAATTGATGATTGGTGAAAATTTTGTTACAATTTTCCCAAAAATCGATTTTTTACGAACTTATAAAATTAACATAAAGAGACAAAGTTGAGAATAATTTAGATTGACTTTCAAACATTAGTATCTCAAAAAGTAAAAGTAATTTTTCAAAGCGGACTTGTTCATTGAAAAGTAGACACTTTAATTGATGATTGGTGAAAATTTTGTTACAATTTTTCAAGAAATCGATTTTTCACGAATTTATAAAGTTAATATGAAAAGACTGAAAATTGAGACAAACTTAGGTTGATTTTAATACATTTGTATCTCAAAAAGTAAAAGTGATTTGTCAAAACGGACTTGTTCATTGAAAAGTAGACACTTTAATTGATGATTGGTGAAAATTTTGTTACAATTTTCCCAAAAATCGATTTTTTACGAACTTATAAAATTAACATAAAGAGACAAAGTTGAGAATAATTTAGATTGACTTTCAAACATTAGTATCTCAAAAAGTAAAAGTGATTTTTCAAAACGGACTTGTTCATTGAAAAGTAGACACTTTAATTGATGATTGGTGAAAATTTTGTTACAATTTTCCCAAAAATCGATTTTTTACGAACTTATAAAATTAACATAAAGAGACAAAGTTGAGAATAATTTAGATTGACTTTCAAACATTAGTATCTCAAAAAGTAAAAGTAATTTTTCAAAGCGGACTTGTTCATTGAAAAGTAGACACTTTAATTGATGATTGGTGAAAATTTTGTTACAATTTTCCCAAAAATCGATTTTTTACGAACTTATAAAATTAACATAAAGAGACAAAGTTGAGAATAATTTAGATTGACTTTCAAACATTAGTATCTCAAAAAGTAAAAGTAATTTTTCAAAGCGGACTTGTTCATTGAAAAGTAGACACTTTAATTGATGATTGGTGAAAATTTTGTTACAATTTTTCAAGAAATCGATTTTTCACGAATTTATAAAGTTAATATGAAAAGACTGAAAATTGAGACAAACTTAGGTTGATTTTAATACATTTGTATCTCAAAAAGTAAAAGTGATTTGTCAAAACGGACTTCTTCATTCAATAGTAGACACTTTAATTGATGAAAATTGTGTTACAATTTTCCCAAAAATCGATTTTTTACGAATTTATAAAGTTAACATAAAAAGACTGAAAGTTGAGAAAAATTTAGGTTGACTTTAAAACATTCGTATCTCAAAAAGTAAAAGTGATTTTTCAAAATGGACTTGTTCATTGAAAAGTAGACACTTTAATTGATGATTGATGAAAATTCTGTTGCAATTTTCCCAAAAATCAATTTTTTACGAATTTATGAAGTTAACATAAAAAGACTGAAAGTTGAGAAAAATTTAGGTTTAGTTTAAAACATTCGTATCTCGAAAAGTAAATGTGATTTTTCAAAACCGACTTGTTCATTGAAAAGTAGACACTTTAATTGATAATTGGTGAAAATTTGGTTGCAATTATCCAAGAAATCGATTTTTCACGAATTTATAAAGTTAACATAAAAAGACTGAAAGTTGAGAAAAATTTAGGTTGACTTTAAAACATTCGTATCTCGAAAAGTAAAAGTGATTTTTCAAAATGGACTTGTTCATTGAAAAGTAGACACTTTAATTGATGATTGGTGAAAATTTTGTTACAATTTTCCCAAAAATCGATTTATTACGAATTTATAAAATTAACATAAAAAGACTGAAAGTTGAGACAAATTTAGGTTAGGTTTAAAAGATTAGTATCTCAAAAAGTAAAAATGATTTTTCAAAACGGACTTGTTCATTGAAAAGTAGACACTTTAATTGATGATTGGTGAAAATTTTGTTACAATTTTCCCAAAAATCGATTTATTACGAATTTATAAAATTAACATAAAAAGACTGAAAGTTGAGACAAATTTAGGTTAGGTTTAAAAGATTAGTATCTCAAAAAGTAAAAATGATTTTTCAAAACGGACTTGTTCATTGAAAACTAGACACTTTAATTGATGATTGGTGAAAATTTCGTAACAATTTTCCAAAAAATCGATTTTTCACAAATTTATAAAGTTAATGTAAAAATTTTGTTAATTTAGAAATGAATATCTCTCATCAAATGTGGGAGATTTAATCTAACAAAGGAAAAGTAAATATAAATAGATTAACCTTTTTTGTATCGAACAGCTACCTGACTAATTAATTAGTCGACAAACTAAATTAGCAACCAGTTCGTGCACATTTGGTTATTTTGTACCTTACGATTGAACCAATCAATAGCGAGGCTCGCAATTCAAATTGAACGAGCTCGCGGCGTGAGCTTCAGCAGTAAGCCCTTTAGCTAAATGTAATCCATTTTAAGGGCCGTTGTTTAGTGCTTTTTGTGTAGATTAAAAACACCGCAGCAAAAAAAAAGTAAAAAAACATAAAAATAAATTTCCTAGAAACATCATCCTCGCAACGACGTCGGGATTAAATCGTAAATAACGAGAAAATGGATTGATTTAACTTTAATTTTTAATTAAGCTTCAATCTTTTATTAACGCACAAAAGATCTTAATAATTGTTTAAGTTTGTATCTTTTAAAATTTCGAGGAAAACTTTTAAATTTTAAGTCGCCGAGAGCTTTTGATCTGGGCAATTTTGAGGGCTTTCAAGTAAAATGTTTTCGCTTGAACACAAAAGCTCACTAAAATTCTCATCAATGAAAACAATCTGTTTAAGTGTAATTTAATTTTCTTTGTGGTGTGGTTTGCGTGATTTTTCGTATTTTTAGATAGACACGTAATTTATTCATGAAACTTTTAAAAAATCTTGATCCTGTCAATTGCTTGTAAGCTGTTCTTATCGTTAAACATTAATAAAGCGGCTCTTTATAATTATCCCTACTAAAAATGAATTGAAAAATGAAACGCTTACCTAAAACGAGCATACTCTTCGTTTTTTGATCTTCGTTTTTCAACGTTGACACGGAACACGTGTAATCACCGGATAAATCCGGGCCGGGGGCTAAAATATGAAGCGCACGATGTATACTGTGCGTGTCATCACTTGCGGCGTATGCAAGATTTAATTTTCCTTTTAATACACCCAAATCTTGGGGGCGCTTGTTTATAGCTATAAAGTTTATAAACAAAAATTTCATTTTTGTGGATTAATTAATAAATTTTAATTTTTACCTGGGATCCATTGATACACTAAAGTTTTATTCTTGTACCATTTCACCACAAGTTCGTCATCACCAACAGCTTCTAAACTAAAATCACAATCTAAAACTACGGGATCTCCGTGCTTGGCGATTTGGGGCACCAAAAGATTGTTGATTTTCACGCAAATTGTTTCTCGGCAAACTGTAACAACAAGAAAAAGAAATTAATAAAAAGTTATGTTGAGGGAATTCTTAAGAGATTAAGAAAAGCTATTAAGGGTCGTTTATATTTAATTAACTGTGGAAAAGGGGAAAAACACGACAATGAGTAATGTTTCATTTTCCGAACAAGTTTTGAGGCTAAAAACAATTATTTTATGAAGATAAAAACTTCAACATAAAATGGAATTTCGTCATCAATCATCATAAGTATTGTTATGGTAACACTCGGGAATCGGAGCATGTTGCAAAATTTTTAGAAGAAAAGTTGTAGCAAATTTTATTTTTAACAATATTGCTCTCTTGCCTTTTTGCTCTCAAACGCATAGATATTGAGATAAATACGAAAATATGAAAATTTGATAAATTTGGTTGCTTTATAAAATGTTATGGTGGCATTTCGGAATAGGAGCATGCTGCTAAAAAACTTTTAGAACAAAAGTAGTAGAAAATTTTATTCTTAACAATATTGCTCTCTTGCACTTTTGTTGTCAGATGTATAGATACCGAGATAAATACGAAAATATGAAAATTTGATAAATTTCGTTGTTTTATAAGATGTTATGGTAGCACTCTGGAATGGGAGCATGTTGGAAAAAAACTTTTAGAACAAAAGTAGTAGAAAATTTTATTCTTAACAATATTGCTCTCTTGCACTTTTGATCTCAGATGCATAGATATCGAGATAAATACGAAAATATGAAAATTTGATAAATTTCGTTGTTTTATAAGATGTTATGGTAGCACTCGGAAATGGGAGCATGTTGGAAAAAAACTTTTAGAACAAAAGTAGTAGAAAATTTTATTCTTAACAATATTGCTCTCTTGCACTTTTGATCTCAGATACATAGATATTGAGATAAATACGAAAATATGAAAATTTGATGAATTTCGTTGTTTTATAAGATGTTATGCTAGCACTCGGGAATTGGAGCATGTTGGAAAAAAACTTTTATAACAAAAGTTGTAGCAAATTTTATTCTTAACAATATCCCTCTCGTACACTTTTGCTCTCAGATGCATAGATATCGAGAAAAATCGTTGTATCTTGATGCCATACAATGATAAATGCCATGTTGTTAAAAGTAGCGCTTGGGAATTGAAGCATGTTGGAAATAAACTTTTATAACAAAAATTGTAGCAAATTTTATTCTTAACAATATTGCTCTCTTGCACTTTTGTTCTCACATGCATAGATATCTTTGAAATTCGAGCTTTCTGTTTCGACACACTCTAAGGTATCTAAGTGCGGTCCTCGTTAGAATCAATGCAACAAAGATTTGTATTTGGTATTAAAACCAATTGTAAGGAAATTCTACCAATTAGAATACGTTGATTTTGAGGATGTATCGAGCTTTTGAATTGATCGTATATGTGGAATACAAACTTCGTTCGAGAAACACCTTTTGAATCTATTAGGAAGTTCTAGTAATACGAAAACCTTCTGTCACGTACCGAGTTTTCAACGACAAATAGTTTCTCGTACATGGTGCATGTACAATGTCGGGGACCTTCTTACGTTCGCTGCATTCGTAAAACGTTCACCTTCATTTTGTTCACCTCCGGAGACTTTCTTGTAAACGAAAAAAGATCTATTATTAAATAAAAATTTCGAATCGAGAAAGCCAATAAGAGTCTTTCTTTTATTGCGTGTTTCTGTTGGGGTTTATCAACGAATTCCCGAGTGGTATTGCGAATCGAAATCCATGGGAGAAAGGAGAAGAAGGGGGCTCAACAGGTGGGGCAATAAAAAAGTCCTTAAGTTTTTACACCCTCTTGGGGCTTTGATGGCCCTCACGATTGCCTACAGTGTGTATAATCGCTCGCCGTATAACCTAAAGGGTTCTAAAATCAACAAAAAGATTAATTTTAAAATTATATTTTAATGATAGATAACAAGTTGATTTTACAATGAACTCGTGTGCTTAATTGCAAAAGCTCGTCTGCGCAACACGTGTTATTGTTAATTAGCGGTTTGCGATATTCATCAACTCGGGTTGAATGCGAGTTAATTATTAGTCTGTTAACGACGCGATTGTTTCGAAAAGAGCCGCCCCATTTCGGGAGGAGCAATTATTTTGACATCAAACGAGGCCTTAGTTCCCGGTTTTCCCTTTTTTTTTGTATTTCGATTCTCGTAACGAACTTCGCTAATGAATGTTTGTTCGGAAAAATGCCCAAACAAACATGACCATTTAAATTTTCGTCTCCATTCAAGGAGACTTACTTCGTCGTTTTGTTCGTTTTCTTCGTCCCTTGGGGTGCCCGTCTCCAGTTTCTCGCATTAAAGGTGTCTAGGGTATAATTAAAACGGGACAGACCTTTCTACCCTTATCACGATTTAATTTTAGAGTAGAATTGATGTGAAGAATAAAACAAGAAGTGTTTTACATTCGCGTTCGTAAATATTTAATGGCGATGAGAAATGCTTTCCGTCTTTAACGCAGAATGTATATTTTTCTGTAATTAAATGTAAATTTCTGGTAAACACGAAAGTCCATTACGGGGGGTTTGGTAGTTTGTAAACAGATTAGTTACAAATTCGGTTTGGCCACTAATGGGGTATTGATAGGGACAGAGAAGAGACTTTGTATAAAGAGATGATCTGAACGACCCCTAACACACTTAAGATTGATGACGACATTCAATTTTATGTTGAAATTTGTATCATCGCAAAGTTATTGTTTTTAGCTCCAAAAGTTGTTGACTCATTGTTGTCTTTTTCCCCTTTTCCAGTTATTTATTTAGCGTATGGCATAAAGATACAACGATTTTTCTCGATATCTATGCATCTGAGAGCAAAAGTGCAAGAGAGAAATATTGTTAAGAATAAAATTTGCTACAACTTTTGTTCTAAAAGTTTATTTGCAACATGGCCCGATTCCCAAATTCTACCATGAATAACTTGTAAAACAACGAAATTCATCAAATTTTCATATTTTCGTATTTTCTTCGTTATCTATGCATCTGACAGCAAAAGTGTAAAAGAGGACTATTGTTAAGAATAAAATTTTCTACAACTTTTGTTATAAAAGTTTATTTCCAACATGCTCTGATTCCCGAATGCTGCCATTAACAACATGGCACCAATCATTGTATGGCATTAAAATACAACTATTTATCTCGATATCTATGCGTCGGAGAGCAAAAGTGCAAGAGAGCAATATTGTTAAGAATAAAATTTGCTACAACTTTTGTTATAAAAGTATTTTTGCAACATGCTCTGATTCTCAAGTGCTACCATAACATCTTATAAAACAACGAAATCCATCAAATTTGCATATTTTCGTATTTATCTCGATATCTATGCATGTGAGAGCAAAATAGCAAGAGAGGAATATTGTTAAGAATAAAATTTGCTACAACTTTTGTTATAAAAGTCTTTTTCCAACATGCTCCAATTCCCGAGTGCTACCATAACATCTTATAAAGCAACCAAATTCATCAAATTTTCATATTTTCGTATTTATCTCGATATCTATGCATCTGAGATCAAAAGTGCAAGAGAGCAATATTGTTAAGAATAAAATTTTCTACTACTTTTGTTCTAAAAGTTTTTTTCCAACATGCTCCCATTCCCGAGTGCTACCATAACATCTTATAAAACAACGAAATTTAACAAATTTTCATATTTTCGTATTTATCTCGATATCTATGCATCTGACAGCAAAAGTGTAAAAGAGGACTATTGTTAAGAATAAAATTTGCTACAACTTTTGTTATAAAAGTTTATTTCCAACATGCTCTGATTCCGGAATGCTGCCATTAACAACTTGTTAAACAACGAAATTCAGTTCAAACAGTTATTTGCAACAGCATGATAATATATAATAGTGTATAATGGATAAATAAACTTATATTAAATAAAATTTTGATAAAAATATTAGCATAAAATACTGTGTTGGTTTGACCTTTAGAGTTGTTTGTGCTTAGATGAGAGATTTTGGAATTAACTTTTGACAAATGGCAAGATATTAAAGTAACGACTCCGAGGCCTAACGCTCCCCATGGAAATAGAGATTTATGAAAATTAAATTCTTCATCTCCCCTTCCGAACCGCAGAGAATAATTTTAAGACATTTATCGAGTTTAAATTACCAAAAACGAATTTTTCTTTTTTGATTTATAAAATTTATAAACAAGTAGAATCGTTGAATTGTAAATGCAAATGAACGCGTTAAAGCTTGCTCGTACATCAGAAACAGGTCCGAAAGCGGATATGATTTCTCAAAAATTATTCAAATGAAAGCTGTGTTCATGTCAGAACCAGTCGGGACATCCTGCCGGGGCTTGACAAGGCCGAAAAAAATACGATTCAATTTAATGAATTTTTCGTTTATTTAAATCAAATCAAACCTTCCGCGAACACAATTTTAGACAGGTTTATGACAAATAAAATTTATAAAGTCAAAATTAAAAATTGTTTGTAAAAAAATTCTTTGAATAATTATCAAATATGGCAGATTGCAAGCAGGAACTACAAAAAGCTGTAACAGAAATGAAAAAGTCAACATCCGCGATTTTAGATGACGCGATGAAGAAAATCAATAAAGCATCGGAAGACGCGCTTGGTAAACTACCGAAAGATTGCACGAAACAAGCTAGAATGTCGTTAGCTGATCAATTAGAAAAGGTTAAGAAAAACGCAGAGGCTAATTTACGCGAAACCGGGAGAGTCGTCGATAAATTCATTGAAGATCTAAGAAAATAACACCATGAAGAAAAAAGAACAAAAATTTCGGAGACAATTCGAAATGATCCATAACGCTATTTATAAAGTTGGAGAAACATCTACAAAAGCTCAACCCAAACTAAAAAACGCTTTAATTAACGCTGGATGTGCAGCGACTGATGTTAGCAATAAAGGATTAATCGACGCTCTTAATAGGACAGTTGAAACTATGGAAAAAGCCACTCAAGCACCTTCCTCAATTTATGTAATAAAATAAATCAATAAATCTGTCACAAAATTCTCGTTCTCATTTTGACACCTCATTCCTAATCATGCCCAATGACAAGAAAAAAAATAAATTGGAATGCAAAGATTGTTGCATTCTAGAATCGGACGATGACACGGGACCTTGCACAAAAAAGAAAAAAATCGATATCGTTCGCTCATTCCTTGAATCGAAAGGCGCGGCGATCTCAGTAATCCAAGAACGCTTTAAGAAATATTGTCCCCTCGGTGGGTTTCATTTCGGAACTTCTAAATCACAATCATCCGCGGAAGATGAACCAGATGATAACGATAAGAAGAAGTTTTTAAAGTTTAAGTGTAAAGATAAGAAGCGGTTGGAATCCGATACTGAAGATGAATCTGAAAGGTGTTCAAAGAATTGCAAAAAAAATGGGAATAAAAAGAAGGTTGCGAAAAAAGGTTCGAAAACTAGTTATAGTTCAACGTCAACGGGAGGGAGTGAGGATCAAAAAGTTAGTAAGAAGCGTAAAAAATCGAAAGTGAATAATAAAAGGAGTTTAGATTCGATGAGTGGATCATCTCAAGAATCTTTACAAAAGAAATCAAAAGATTCGGGCAAAAAGAAATCAAAAGATTGTGTTGAAAAGAAATCAAAAGATTCTATTGAAAAGAAATCAAAAGATTCTATGGAAAAGAAATCAAAAGATTCTTTTAAAAAGAAATCAAAAAAAGGATCAAAAGATTAAAAGAAATCAAAAGATTCTATGGAAAAGAAATCAAAAGATTCTCTTAAAAATAAATCAAAAAAAGGATCAAAAGATTCTCTTAAAAAAAAATCAAAGACATCAAAAAAAGCTTCAAAAGAATCTTTAAAAAACTCTTCAAAACAATCCATAATTCATCATTCTGATCAAATGGTAGAGTTGGTTCTAGCTGATGGAAGACATTTATTTTTGAATGAATGTTGTTTTAAAGATCCCGGTCATCACCATTCAAAAAATTCTAACGAAACAAATTGTTCAAAAAAATCTGTTTCAAAAAGACTTTCTTCAGATGATGATTTAGAAGAAATTGAAACAATAAAATCACCCAAGAAAACCATCCTAAAAATGACAGACGTTGTTGGGACTCCCCGCGGATCTTTCGCAACACCAACTCAATCTGAAACATTATATCTAAATCGGATTAACAAAAACATTAAGGATAATCAAAAATGTGTAAGAAAAGATTTTGAAAAAGAAGAAGTATTAAACGTGGAAATATTAAATGAAAAAGTATCAAAAGAAGAAATATTAAGAGAGCATTTATGTACTTGTAGTTCTGGGGCTCCAATTATAATTAAATCGGTTTGGAAAACTGGAAAACCAGGATGTTGCCAATGCGTAAAAGGAAAACAACAAAGTGAAGATGGATTGAAAAGATGCGTTGAATGTAATAGTATAGTCACCGATCAACAAGGATGTTCTTGTTGCCTTGGAAGAGCCATCAAAGAACAAAGAAAAAATGAATTATCATTCGCCCCAAATCTAAAATTAACCCAACAAGAATTTCAACATCAATTTAAACAGCATCTTCAAAGACAAATCGATGAATGCGCGTGTAACAAGAAAAAGAAAGAAAGAAAATGAATTAATCAAACTTTACGATTAGGTATAAATAATTATTAGTAAATTTGAAATCTCCACAAAATTCGCGTTAAAACGAGTATAAACACGGCATATTCAACTTTAAAAATAACCAAGTTACTTCCGGTTTTAAATTTCAACTATAATTTTGTAATATTCATATTCGTTGTGGAAAATCCTTTAAAATGAGTCCAAACTCGACGGGGTTATCTCAAAAAATAACCGAGATATCACCTCTTTAATATTACGTTGCCAACTTCACTTTGTTAACTTTAGTTTTGTTAACTTTCTTATTTTTGTTGTTTTTTGAAATAAATTAGGCATGTTTGGACTCATTTTGAAGGATTTTTCATAACGAATATAAATATCGCAAAATTAAAATTGACGTTTAGAACCGGAAGTCGGCCATTAAAGATGATTTTTAAAGTTGTATACGTTATTTTGCACTCGTGTTAATAAATGTTTAATGAAGATTATAAAATTATAGTATCAACCTTAAAAACCATCGAGATATGGGATACTTCCGGTTTTAAACGTCAACATTAATTTTTGGATTTTGATATTCTTTATGAAAAATGCTTTAAGATGAGTCGAAACATGATGGGGTTATCTTAAATAATAACCGAGATATTCACGTTTTTAGTGTTACGTTGCCAACTTCACTTTGTTAACTTTAATTTTGTTGTTTTTTGAGATAAATTAGGCGTGTTTGGACTCATTTTGAAGGATTTTTCATAAAGAATATTAATACCACGTAATAGATTAAGAATATAATATAATTAAAGTTGACGTTTATAACCGGAAGTTGTCCATCAACACTTATTTTTGCAGTTAAATATGATTTGTTTGTATTCCTTTTAATGAATATAACAAAAAAGTATACATTTAACTTAAAATAATCGAGGTTGGGTTACTTCCGGTTTGAAACGTCAACTTTAATTTTGCTATATTCTTAATCTTTGCGAAAAATCCTTTAAAATGAGTCCAAACTCGTTGGGGTTATCTCAAAAAGTGACAGAGATATTAAAATTTTTGTTATTATGTAGCCAACTTCACTTTGTTAACTTTAAATTTGTTAACTTTTCGTTGTATCTCCTTTGTTTATTGAGATAAATCGGCCGTGTTTGGACTCGTTTTAAAGGATTTTCCATGAACATTAAGAATATCACAAAATTAAGGTTGTAATAGAAATTCGGGTTACTTCCGGTTTTAAATGTCAACTTTAATTTTATAATATTCATAATTCTCATGAAAAAAATCTTTTTAAATGAGTCCAAACATGATGGGTTATCTCAAAAAATAACCGATATATTAAAATTTTTAGTATTTCGTTGCTAACTTCACGTTATTAACTTTAAATTTGTTGTATCTCCGTTGTTTATTGAGATAAATCGGCCGTGTTTGGACTCGTTTTAAAGGATTTTCCATGAACATTAAGAATATCACAAAATTAAGGTTGTAATAGAAATTCGGGTTACTTCCGGTTTTAAATGTCAACTTTAATTTTATAATATTCATAATTCTCATGAAAAAAATCTTTTTAAATGAGTCCAAACATGATGGGTTATCCCAAAAATAACCGATATATTAAAATTTTTAGTATTTCGTTGCTAACTTCACTTTATTAACTTTAAATTTGTTGTATCTCCGTTGTTTATTGAGATAAATCGGCCGTGTTTGGACTCGTTTTAAAGGATTTTCCATGAACATTAAGAATATCACAAAATTAAGGTTGTAATAGAAATTCGGGTTACTTCCGGTTTTAAATGTCAACTTTAATTTTATAATATTCATAATTCTCATGAAAAAAATCTT